TGCTTTATCAGTTATTTGTAAATTATGCAGATACACGCATGTAATATTAATTACTGTTTACCCGTCTGCGTTATTTAGAATAAGCACATGTGAATCATTTCAAAAACCATACAAATCGAAATAACACTGCAAGTGCAACATTTGCTCAATTATTAAGTTACGCGAAAAATAACAAACGAAACACTCAATAAAGAGCTTTTATAATTATTTTTTATGTATTTAATATACAGTACACCTCCCTAAGTTCACTCCTTAGTAGCATAAAAAATACAAAGCTGCATTTAGAGGTGTGCGTTTATAGAGTAAAATATGTAGTGTTTATGTTGGATCGAAATTTCCTTAATGCTTTATCAGTTATTTGTAAATTATGCAGATACACGCATGTAATATTAATTACTGTTTACCCGTCTGCGTTATTTAAAATAAGCACATGTGAATCATTTCAAAAACCATACAAATCGAAATAACACTGCAAGTGTAACATTTGCTCAATTATTAAGTTACGCGAAAAATAACAAACGAAACACTCAATAAAGAGCTTTTTAGTCCCATATACTCATTATTATTTTTTAAGAAAGAGGTATGTTTTCAATACCACTCTCATAATGTCATTCTGTCTAAAGTTATAAATAAAGCGTAAATAATATATCAGATACTAATATGAGGCCTTTGCAGTAGAAAGGGCCCAAACTGCATTTTAATTTTTAACTCTAATTATTTAAAAATTAAAATGCAGTTTGGGCCCTTTCTACTGCAAAGGTCTCATATAACGATTGATATAAAATTTAATATATATCGTACTTGTAGAGTGTGCATTTATAAAGAGAAAAAAAATATAATGCTATTATAGACCGGAACTAACCTATGTCATGCATATATATAATGTGTGCATTAGAGAGTGTGCATTTAAAGTATTTGGACAACATAAATTTAATTTCTTGCATTTTGAATAAATATATATAACAAAATTCATTATAAAAGACAAAATTTTTTTCCAAAACCGCGTTTTTTTTTTGAATACTTCGCATTCTTTTTTAACCAACAAGAACATAATGAAGTTCTCAATAATTCACTTGTTTTACTACTGTATCTTGACTATATTCGTCTATATTCTTCCAGCTGAAGCCCGAGGTCGAGAAAATCTTAAAGGTATCGTGCTGTTTAAATAAAATAAATTACTAATTTTATCTTTAACTTACATAATCTATTCTTTTACTGTTAAATTAAACCATATTCTCCCAGCTAAAGCCCAAGGTAGAAAAAATTTTAAAGGTATAGTGCTGTTTAAACAAAATAAATTACTAGTTTTATCTTTAACTTATATAATCTATTACTGTTAATTAGACCATATTCTCCCAACTAAAGCTCGAGGTGGTGAAAATTTTAAAGGTATAGTGTTGCTTAAATAAAATAATTTACAAGTTTCATCTTTAACTTATATAATCGATTCTTTTACTGTTAATTAGCCCATACTTGTAAAACTACCACTACCACTCCCATTCCCACTCCCACCTCTTCTTCTGCAGATATTTGTTGTGGTCCTGGAGGTCCAGGAGTAAATGGTTCAGTTCCCAATACTGGTAATAGGGTTACAATCATCAGCAATACAAATACAGCAGAAGGTTGTTGTAGACATTGTTATGAGAATCCTAGGTGTATTTGGTATTTTATTAATTTAGAACTTAATACTTGTCACCTTATTGGATCAGCTACAGATCCACTTGTAAATATATGCGATTCGTACGTAAATTATGTAAATGATAATTTTTTTGCATCCGGAACCTCAGGTTGTGGCTTTTGTCAAGTTAACGAATGTTAATTTTCTACCAGTGATTATCTTTAAAATCCTAATGATTATTTAATGTCATTCATTTAATATAATTTTCACAATATTAATTCAGCAATAGTGTAACTTTATTCTGTTTGTTATCTTTTTAACAATATATTTCCATCAGTGTTGGTTGTTGGTCAAAGTTTTATTGGTCAGCCTGGTCTGGTCAAATTGATCAAATAGTTTGGTCTATTAATTAAATATAAATATATAATATATATATACTTATATGTACTTATAATAATTTATACAATTTGTCCAATTTTACCAGTGCTAAACCCTTGGACCAGATCAAGATTGACTATTGACTGGTCCGTGCAACACTGATTTCTATTAACATTCTACAATTATAGCAATTGTCCAAGCATAGTTAATTATTTTCGAAGATATAGTCAATTCAATAAAAGATTATACGAATGTTTTTGACAACTAGTTTTTTTCGTGTACTTATATCGAATAAAAAAAAAAAAAATTTCGTCACAAAGTTAATATTCGTTTTTTATTATATCATTATTCGAATAGACAATATAAACAAAATTAAAAAATTTATATCAATTAAATTCCTCATGATTATAGTCTTCAATTTCATAATCCGATCCAGTATCTAACAGACCGCCTTTTAAATAATTTATTTCTTTTAATACGTTCTCTACTTCAATATCAAAATCATTACTATTAAAATTGCAGTGAGGTTAAGTTGTTTGTGTTCATGTGTAAGGATATTACTAATGCTTTTCCCACCTTAGTTCCGAGGCTATTAAATGAAATATTTAAAGAAGTTAAACTATTGTTTTTGCAAAGAGCATCCGCTAATGCTTCTCCACCCTTTGACCCAAGCTGGTTAAAGAAAAGGTTTAAAGTGGATAATGTATTGTTTTTGCAAAGAGCATCTGCGATTGCTTTCCCTCCATAAGAACCAAGGTTATTATTTGAAAGATCTAAAGATGTTAAAGCATTATTTTTGCAAAGAATACCTGCTAGTGCTTTTTCAGCATCGGATCCAAGTTCATTATTGGAAAGGATTAAAGAAGTTAATGTATTGTTTTTGTAAAGAGCATTTGCTAATGCTTTTCCTACATCAGATCCAAGCTGATTAGATGAAAGATTCAAATGAATTAAACCATTGTTTTTGGAAAGAGCATCTGCTATTACCTCCCCTCCACAAGAACTGATTATTATTTGAAAGATCTAAAGAAGTTAAAGTGTTATTTTTGCAAAGAGTATCTGCTAGTGCTTTTCCGACACCAGATCCAAGTTCATTATTGGAAAAGATGACCTCTAGTTGCAATATATTTTTAATTAATTCGTATAGGTAAAAAAAAATCAAAAATATTATATTAATCTCTTAAAATCTTTTTATTAAGAAAACTAATATAGTCTCTTAAGTACTGTAAAATTTTAAGGTCAGGTTTTCCATTTCATATTTTGTTTCTTTGTTCTCTCCGGTTTTGTAAATGGAGGATTCAATTGTTCTTTTTTTAGCTGTTAAATTCTTGTCTAATTTGTTGTATGTTACTTGCTTGAGATTAAAAGTTATATATTTGTTTTTTTATTGGAATATTGTAATGTAACTGTAGCAAGATCTGCTTCTATAGATAGGTTAATTTCCTCATGAAATTTTTAGCTGGGAATTGATTTCTTGGTGTAGTGAAACTTTCAGCTGACTTTATAAAACTTTTGGCCGTATTTAGAAAGAATTGCTATGGACTAAAAAGACGTTGTGGTTGCTGTGAAAAGGTAATCGAGGCACATTTTCTTGTGCAATGGTCATTGTAGCAAAATTTTTATACTAGGTGTCTAGAATCTCAGCTCACAGTAATTTGACCCGGGTGGGTATTTTTTAGACAGGTCAAATCACTAATTGTGAATTCTGAAGTTAATTTTACAGATAATCCTGAAAAATGCGGTTTAACACCATGTAATTTAGGTCGAAATTCCAGAGTTATGCTTTGCAGCACTCAAATACAGAATTAATCAACATTTGATACTCATGAACAAAAGCTTAGAAAATTCAAAATAATGATGAATTCTCAAGCTGAAGAAACAGATGAGCTAATTTTATTGCCCAAGCAAACAAAATGATAAAGTTCAGATCACGAAATGATGGAAAGAATTGAGAAACTCAGTGATATTGTTGCAAAAATGGCAGAATGAACAGGAGTTATGTAATAAATTTTTTGAAATTACTTTATTATATAGGCTGATGTATGTGTCACTTAAACCTCAAAAGTCATTGATGAATCCAATACTATTTACAATAAAATTTTCTTCAACCAAAAAGCTTATTCGCATTATTTAGTTTTTTATTTTCATTTATCATTAGTTGGTCTACGTCGATGGCCCCTCCAACTGGTTTTCTGTACTTTTTGTTCAGTAATATTATTATTATTAAAAATATTACTGATATTACAATTGCAGATATTATTTTACCTATGATTATGTAGTCCATTCACTTTGCGGATTTGTTTCTCGTTTCAGTAATTTTGTCTGCTAAGTTTAATTTGACTATTTTTAAGTGATTTGGGATTACGTGAGTACAAGGCTTTAGCGAAAAATTGATGTCTATTATTTGAGCACTACAGAAGAGAAGGTAATAAATGATGTAATTTATTAGATTTTGATTTTAAATATTTTATAATTGAAAATCCAATAGTGGATTTTATTTAAACTATCATATAATAATACAGAATTAAATAAATTAAAATTTGTTATTTTCAAGTTTTATTATTGATCCAAAAGAATATATTATTGTCCGAACAATTGTCTGAATTACTTTTATCTATACAGTGAAACCTCTCTAAGTGCATGCACTTGTGACCAGAATTTAATGATGCTATATATTGGCCTTCACTAATATTATTGTCAGGCAATTAAACTTAAAATTCTTCTAAAACAAATATTATATAACGTATAATTTTTAAAATACTTTCTATAAGAAATACTTACAATTTTATTAAAGCTTCATAATAAAATTTTAATTCAAATGTTAACAAGCGTTAGTTTACAAATTCAAGGATTAAATTTGAATTAGCAAAAATTTGATTAAATTTAACATAAAATTTTTAAACCAATTCTAAAACTTTATTTTTGTTTCTACGACTCACCCAAATTATTTACTACGACAATATCGTTGTAATAATCTGGACACTAAGTAAAGAACTAAATATATTACACTACCAATCACCCTGAAAGCAGATAAAATCATAACTGACAAAAATACTATAATTATCAAAAATTAAAATTATTAAATATAAATTATTTAAGATGAATTTAGTATTAACTTTATGCTACTCAACTATAAGCAAATTGTAAATTGATTTCACTCTTATGATTAAATCTTTTCAATAAAGCTTTGAACTGGACAATTTCTAGACTTTATTTTTTAAACTTTACTATCTCTCATTATTTGAATCAGTTAGCTAATTTTCTATATGATGATAATAATATCATGATCGTGAAATACTTCGTCCACTTGATAATAATTTATGACATATACGTTCTTTCGAGAATTGTGTCTTTTAAAAATAACCAAAAGATCTCTATTTAGTGCTTACCAGAATTACTGTATTTCCTTAATTCAGAAATTTTTCAAAATTTGTTTTATGCTTAATACTAATTTTTTTATTTTTTGTAGCTTAGTGCATAAAATTACATTATCCCATATTTTTAGAATTTCAAGAATTCTATACCAACTTAGAGATATGATTAATATAAAAATTTAGCTGAAGATGAATATCTTCAAATTCTAGATATTTATTTAATCCTGCTTCTGCATCTAATGATCATAGTTAGTTTAGGCCTCACCAAATATTCATTTTAAAAATTAATATGCTTTCTGATGATTTGTTTGCAATTTGTGTTCGTTTTACTGTATGCGATTTTTTTTTTCCTTTGCACTTGAATATTTTTAAGAAAGAGAGCATAGCTTAGTATTTTTAGATAATTTGGTAGTTTTTTTGATCTAATAGTAAAGATTTTTATCATTTATGCATTTTATTATTCTTAACATCTCTAATTATATCTAATAAACTATTAAATTGTATTTTGATTCACGATGCAATTGATACATTGAATATAATTAAGTGATCATTACTTAGTAGTTTTTCATGCGTATTTATTTAGAAATATGTAACTTTCATAGTTTGAAAAAAATTAAATTAATTTGAGTAAAATTTAAATTATAAAAAGGCTTATAAATTGCAATAAATAATGAAACAATTATAATAGTTCAGCACCAATATTTATAAATCAAATAATAATTAGATTAAATTTATTCCTCTTATCCAGTCTTTTTTTCTAGCTGGTCTATCCTTTCCGTCAATAAAGTAATAACTTTTTCTTTAATAACATCACATATCCTATTGTAGGTTGTAGTAATAACTTTTCTATCTGATCTACTAGTTGTCCTAATCGCCCCAAGTTAAATTCTATATACCTCTGCAGTGACCAAAATCCCAAAATTAAAACCTCTTCTAACCATAACTTCCACTTCATTAACATGTTCTCTTCCTTTCTTACAATTATGATAAAAGTTAGTAAGTAATCTAATCAAAATTATAGACAAAGATATATATTTATATAACTATTAAAATAAGCCTTGCATTGGATAACCATTTTATGACCATTTATCTCTACAATTATATCTTGACCTTCATCTCCGGAACAACTAAATTAACAAACATTTATATAAGCTTTGTTTCATAGAAGTATAAGTTGAAAAATAACACATATTCTCTTCACCAGGCTAATTACTGAGAAAGACGCCCAGAAAGTTATACAACCAAGAAGAATGTTCTATGCCAAAACATAGGCCACAATGAGCTTTCAATTCTTGAATATTTTATATTAATCTGGCAGCGTAACTTCAAATATATAACAACTCAACAGTGCTTGTAAGAACATACTCACTCTGTCCATTTAATTCTAGTGCCCCAAGATAAAAATTCATTTTTCAACAAATCAACACAATATAGTTCAAATCTTTTTTCTAAAGTTTTATTTGACTCTCCAGTAAGTTTATTAAAAACTAGGTTTTTTTTTATTTTAAAAAAAAATATAGGTTAAAAGAACCTCTAAAACTCACATATATTTAATATAATTTATTCATGTATGAAAAAGAAAGAAAGTGATGTGTGAAAAAAATTTTCAGTTATGATTGAGATCTACCCTGCGCATTATGTAATTACGTAAAATTTAATTGCATTCGAATCCAAATATAGATGCCAATCGAATTTAGATAAATTTAAAATTGCTAAGAATATATATATTTATTAGTTACGATTGAAAATAATAAGTTTATTCATTCTTACTAAAAATCATAATGAATAATTTATACCATACCAAATTGATTTGTTTAACAAATATTTTGTAAAAGAAAAATTAATTTATACCTTAATTTATTGTTATCACTAGTATTATTGGTTAATATTACATTTTAATAAATAGAGTGGCCTAGCACTAGCTAAATGAAATTTTAAATAACAACGATAATAATAAGAGGTATCTATAATTTACTAATTATATAATTTACATTGGGCCATTTCTAGTTGAATCATTGGTTAACTGGCCAGCTATCCTCGAATTAAACAAGCCAATCACAACATGGAAAATCTTCAATAATCATGTGATTAAAGTTAACTAATGAGATTTAATTAAATACTTAGTAATATGTACATACTTGTTTAAATTTTTTCTACGCACCTAATACTGATATTAACCAACTAATCAACTAAAAATGGCCTTATTCACTATTTGGAAGTGAACAAATTATCAAAAAATAAAAAATAAAAATCTAAAAAATAAAAAAATAAAAAAATAAAAAATAAAAAATAAAGTCGCTGAGTATATTATTTTTCTGGTTCAGATTAACTTACTAATTATAAAATTAATTCTAGACAAGTTGTTTTCCAGATTTCCAAAGATCCAAAGAAATCAAAATCGGTAAAATTTTAGCAATTTAAATCTAATTGAAATTCAAATTTTCTGATTACTGTAAATTCTCGAAATAGCAGGCATCTGCGCACTATTTTATAGCACTTTGCAAAAGATGTGAACATGTGATTTTAGTGATGATGATAGCTGAGAATCACTAAGATTTCCAATTGTTTTTTACTTTATATTTTTGATTGATTATGTTTATATTTCTTTGAAATTGGTTTAATTCTTAAAATTAAAAAATCTATAAAATCTCTGATCCTCACATGAAAAAATAATCTGAGTGTTCACATCTTTTTGCAAAGCACAATAACTTGCTTTTTGTCACTTATGCTATTTTTAGGGGCACAATTTTCGAAATATCGTATGTTTACCTTCAGAAAAATATCTTCCAAGATGCATTTTCAGTTTTTTTGATTCTTGTTATTTCTTTGTACAGTTTCATTAACTTAAATTCATTGTAATTCCTAGACTATCTTGATAAAGAATAGCTAATTCAAGACAGCTATTTTTGATATTAATTCTGTGTCTCAAGTTTTGTGCTAACATTTAGCATTTCTCACATGTGTATTTCAACTGATTCTACGGAGAACAGTGCAATCACATGATATTATTAAGAAGAGAAATATAAAATTTTCAAAAACTTTAAATCAAAATATTTTAGCAACAACCTGACCAAATTTGAATTTTTTTTTTTTTTTGGCTAAGTCAAAGTCAATCATTCTAGGCTAACCTTTGGAAACTATCAGGAGATATCTTTAAATTTTTGCCCCAACTTTGCTCATATTTTATGTTTATTGATTTGCCCTACTTATAACTCTATCGGTAATTTTACAACCCTAAACTCAAGGCAGAATCAAATATAATTTCAAGCAAAATTAAGTATAATTCCGGACAAAATTAATATATCCTCAAGTTAAACAAAAAATGATTGATGAAATTGATTTAATATTTCTAAATACTTCTTTCTATCTGAAATATGATGAGCTCTTAAAATTGGAATATTGTAACGTGATTATAAATAAGGTTAGCTAACTTCACCCAATTGTAATTGAACTTCAAAGATTTGTTAAAAATTCTTGTGAAATAGCCAGACATCGATTTGAAACTGGAACAGTGATTAACATAAATACTAATAGTTTTCATACACATAAAGATCATTGGCCCAATCCTGAAATTTTTGATCTAAATCGTTTTTATAAAAAAAATGAAAGTAAGCATATGAAAAATAAAGTAAGGAATAAATTTTTACTATTAATATTTGGTGGTAGTTTACATATCTGCTTTGGAAGAAAATTAGCAATGATTGAATTACTTTCATTAATGGTAATGTTATTTGGAAAATATGATGTTAACATCACGAAGTATAACTAAGTACTTATAAAGTATTTGTCAAATACTTGCTAAGTACTTAGTTGCAAGTACTTACTAAATATAAGGTATATTGGAATGTATTTAATAAGTACTTGATATAAATATTTAACAAGTACTTAATATAAATATTTAATAAATATTTATAACAAGTACTTGATAAGTACTTGGTTATATTTTAAAAAATTAAATAAATTATTTACTTTTTTTAATATAATATAAAGTTATTATTTTATAATTATAATTATATATACATAAACAAAGTTAAAATCAAAATTGAAGCTAGGGTTAAAATTGCGTAAAATCATTTTTCATTAGTATATCTGAAGCAAGTTTACTAGTAAAATTTTGTGTTATAACAAAAATGAGTAAAAAATTTTTGAATAAAAAAGATCAAAGTTATTATAGTAATTAATAAATATTTAAATTAATTACTTATTTAATATTAATTATTATAATATATAATAAGTATTAAAATTAATTAATTAATTATATAGTATTTAATTAATATTAAAATTAATTACTTATTTAATACTATTTATTATAGTATATAATAAGTATTATAAATAATTACTTGTTTAATACTTATTTTTATAATATATAATAAGTATTATAAATAATTACTTATTTAATACTTATTTTTATAATATATGGGCCCTCAAAAGTAGAAACCACCGAATTTGACTTTTAAAAAAATTTGGTTGCTTAACTTTCAAGACCTATATCTCAATGAATTTCAAAGCTATTTCAATAATTTAAATTTTAAAATAAACTTTAAGATTTATATTTCTTTTAAAATTTAAATTATTAAAATAGCTTTGAAATTCATTGAGATATAGGTCTTGAAAGTTAAGCAACCAAATTTTTTAAAAAGTCAATTTCGGTGGTTTCTACTTTTGAAGGCCCATATAATAAGTATTATAAATAATTACTTAATTAATACTTATTTTTATAATATATAATAAGTATTAAAATTAATTACTTATTTGATACCAGTTTTTAAAGTATTTAATTAATATTAAAATTAATTATTTATTTAATACTAATTAAAATAAATACTTGTAAAGTATTTTAACTTAATATTTATTTTATATTAAATTATAATAGTAAATAAATACTTTTAATAATTATTAATAAATACTTATAAAACACCAAATATTTAAAAAGTATTGTTAGCAAATACTTATTTAATAATACTGTTTAATTTATATAGAATAGTGATTGGTTTGACTTCTTTATGAAGTTAGTTGATATAAACGCTCTGTTAAAGGTGAAAAGCACTGCAACAACTACTTGTGGAGAGTTGCCAATTAAAATTAAGCCTAGAAAATAGTTACTTTTTTTTATTTATTTTATATTACAATAAGACATTGGCAATATAAGAATCAATGCTATTACATAGATGCTTTTTACTAATTTCAAAAATAAAAACTTGACTTTTTTTTAAATAACAAAATCACATCTTGTTATCAAATATCATATTTGAAGAAAAGCAATTTATCAAAAATTATCTTCATTCAAATTTGAATCTAAATTATAAGAAAATAAATTATTGATTTTTTAATTGAATTTTTTACACAATCCTAATTGGATTTAATATTACAAGTTTTAACACAAAATTTGATTAATAAGTAATTGAGTTTATTTCTATTGTTTAGCTTGTTAGTTCCAAAAAGTCAGCAAGCCTAGCATTTTCTTTAATTTGATTGCTTGCTTGGTAGTAGAAAAATATTATAAAAATTTTTCCAATTACTTCAATAGTATTAATATTAACAGGTCGATATGAATCTTACAAGCTTGGCTGGGTGGGAAAATTTTACCAAAAAAATGAATTAAAGAATTCATTAAAGATAGTAATTTAATAATCAAATAAAACAATGAATTAATTTTATTAATTTGCTTGAGTGATAAAGGCAATATAATTTTCACAATGCTGAAAATTTTATTTATTCTAGCTATTTTTACTTGCTTTTGCTCAATCATTATATCTAGTGATATTAATCCAAAGAAAACTGTAAATGTTCCATTAGTTTATTTTTTGCAATTACAATATTTTGCAATACAATCCATTGAAAACAAAAACCATGATCTTTTGGTGCAACACAATGGTAATGAGGAGCTCTCCAGAATGCCAAAAACTTCTGAGAAGTTTTCAGAGCTCCCTACAATTTCCAAACATGCTAATACAAAAAAACCCCTGTCCTCCTAACTCTTTTATTCTCTACCACCAATCCAAACAACCAGTGATAGTTGCTAATAATAAGAATATTTCTAATATTGAAGTTTCAAAAAAATCGGTAACATGTGGCATAAAGAGCCCTTGGAAGTAAAATTAAAGTTCCAACTTCTGGCTGATATAGCCAAATTAAAGCATATACAAAAATATCCTGAATACAAATACCAACCTCATCGTCCATACGAAAAGAGGAAGAAAACAAAAAAAAAAGTCATTATTCAATGAATGAAATCTCTTTTCAACTAAATCAACGACAGAAAATGGGCATCTGTAATTTTTCTAAAACAATATCAAAAACTATTTGAGAATCATATTTTATCCGAACAGATACCTCCTCAACATGGAAAAATAAATTTAGATTATAATGAATTTTTCAATCAGAATGTGAACAAATATGATTTCCAGTTAATAAGCAACAATCTAAATCTGTCAAATGAAATTTTGAAAAACTCTCAGGAAATCACAAGTATGTTTAATTGAACTATTCATTCATATTTTGTTATAAACTATGCTAACTAGGAAAATTTGCTTTCTATCAACGAAAAATAAAAAGAAATTTAAACATTATTAATCCGGAATACCTTATTTATAATCCTTATCTTTCTCAATTCTATTTGTGAGTCTTATTACTAATATATAGAGTATCTGATGTAAGTCAATTATTGGTTTTTTAGATAATAGAACCTCAAAAATATCTGTAAAATTGGTCTTACATACAAAGTTAAACTTGCATTCATTGAAATATATAGCTACTATAAATTGTACTAACTGTAAGAGTTATTATTTAGCCAAAATTATAATCAACTTGAATAGCAACTAACTTATTTTCATTATTAATTAATATATATAACAATACACGTTGGTTTAACGTAAATTATAGCACCATATCGATATGGTATTTTCTAATTTATTTTGAAATTACCGCCAATAAAACTGAGCATAAATGCGATTCTAATTCATTGTTGGTCAAATAACGTAATTTAAATGTTGATTACTAACTAAATTTCAAGATTTCTATAAACTATTCATCCTACATACAAAATTAAAGCTTGCACAAATTAAATTTAAATAAATATGTTTTCATTAATTCTTGAAATTATTGTTTAAGCAATATTCCCTAATTCTTATCACAATTGTAAAGTTTAACGTAAATTAATGAATTGTAAATTATAGATATCTCTAATGCGATTCATTATCTATTTTCAAACAAATTTAACAGATATCTGCGGATTTTACTATAGTATTCAACAGATTGCATCCTTACTCTAGAGTTTCACAAATTATGCGGCAGTAAAATAAACATGTTTAAAAATAAACTTGCATATTATTTCTGTAAGAAAAACATAACATGTAGCATTTTTGAAAATACAATTTATAAAAATATTTTCAGAGTGCGTTAGATTATGCATTGGTACTGAAAATTTTGGGTAGATTTTTTTTTTATATTAGGTTAGTGAAAACCAGTGGTTTCATCGACAATAGTCCTATTCTACTGATAAATTCCATATACAGTATAAACGAGATTCAGCTACCGAATTTTTTTTTACTACTATTCTATTTTAATTGCATAAATATTAAATTTTTTCTAACCTCTTTTTTAAATAAATGATGGAAAATTCATTTATTTGCAAACTAGAAAATATATAAGTGCAAATAGAAAAAATATAATCTTACGGTCATTCATAAGTATCTATACGCTAACAATAATCCTCAAATTGTTCAGAGGTATCAAACAGATTTCTAAAGAACATAATACACAAGTTAGCTGGCATTAGCTATAATGCTAATCGTGATTTTGACCCAAATTCATTCTCAAGTATAAAAAATTTATTTTTTTTTGAAAACTTGCAAAAAGCTGGCTTTTATCAAAATATTATTCAATTTTATGGTGTAACTAAATGTAAGGGAAAATGTTTTTCTTAATAAGTTTTGTTTTTGCTCCTATTTTTGAAAAAGAAAAAAATCTTTGCTAAGCACATATTATATATTAATTTATAATTGCGAAAACTATTCATTCAATTATATAACTTAATGTAATTTTCCTTTTAAAGTTTTGAATAGCTAAGTTTATACAAATGCATTAAGAAGATATTAAGGGAACATGATTGAAATGTTAATGTTATTTCTAATGCAGAGTATTGTATTGGCAATAAGTTTTCTTTTATTTTAATTCTATAAATGAGAACCCCCACAGCAAGAGAGGATGGGCCAAAAAAATTTTTTTTTTTAAGAAAAAATTTAATTTCTTGAAGAATTAAATTGAATAGAATAACATTAGCATAAGAATAAATTTTCTAATTTTTTGGCCCATCACCTTTTGCTGTGAGGGTCCCCTATTTGTCTGTTATACTATTTCATATTTTATACTTGATGAAATTTTAATTCATAAATTATTTTACTAATGTATTGAAACTGAAAAGAAAAAAGGTGTGAATATGTATAAATTTTTTTATTTTTTTTTAATTGTAAAAAGGTATTAAAAAAACCACCAATCTAATTAAATTTAGGGCATGCGAATAATAAAATACATGGAAAGCAAAATCGAAATCCTATAAAAAATTAACTTAAATAGCCCTCTCAATTGTTTTGATTTGCTTCTATTAGAAATAAAGATGAAGGATAAGCTACTCTATTTATTATTTATTACTGGATTTAGAGCTTCACTCTTCTGTCATAATACCACAATAACCCTATTACAGAGCCTTGAACCAAAAGAAGTCAATCTGAAAATTTATTATTTAAAATTTAGCTTTAACCTTAGCGGCATGTTGAAATTTATAATAAACTTTCTATACATAATCTTAACCAATCCGAATTGCAATGTCTTAGAATATGCGAATGCAATTACTAACTTCATTTATCACACGTCACTTTCCCTTTCTTATTGTAGAGACTGTATCTATTGAAGAATATCATGCTTGATAAATTCATTTATATCATATTACTAACTGTAAGAATTGGATTCTAATTCTTATATATTATTTTTTTAGGACTATGACAATCCAACACCAATCTTCAGAGTATCTGTGATTCTGGGTATTATAATAACAAAACGTTGGTACTAGGGTTTATAAACACAGATTTCACAATTGAACTACATATAACCTTTATAGTAGTATTTCATATATTGTATAAAGGCAAAAAAGTTAACAGTGCAGTATCTCTTTCTGACAAATCAACCAATGGACTAAAAGGGGTGCTATTCTGGTTTATATTAAGAATTCTATTGGCTGTGGTATTTGATATACTGGGAATAATAGATACTCTTGGTGTCTTGAATCCAAATAAGGTAGTACACTAAACCTAATTATATGTTATATACTCACCTGTTTAATTATGTTGGATCATGAAATTATCAGAAAGTATTTAAAACGTAAGTCAAATAATATTAGTGATAAAAATAATAATTCATTTAATATGATATTAATGTAACACAATCAGGAATAATGTAAAAAATTTGTCTGTTTTTAAAATTGTTTATAACTCAAAATTTTATATAACAACTGACTTTTACGCACTAACAAAAAATTTTCCTTATAATCTTAAAGTTTGTTGTAAATTCAATAAGCAAGATTATCATGTATAGGGAAAATTCCCCTATATGCTGGGTCTTTCTGCCAGCATTAGTTGGTTTAAAATATTTTGAATATAATCAATAGAGTATTTCAAATAAAATAATTTTGGCCAATTTAGTTGGTATTATATTATTTCTGGATTTTGAATAAGTTTACCCAGAATTAATAATTTAATTCTTTTGGAGCTAAAATTATACTTTAATTATATATAATTTTGTTCAGAATTTTGCTTGAATTATTCATATAAAGTTTTAAAAAAATGATCTTAGAAAAACAAAGACAAAATTATATTTTTTTATAAAACAACTACTGGACTAAAATTTTTTTTATTTTTTATTCTATTATTCAATAAAACTATGTTAAAAATTTGTCTTTTATATTTATTAATAAAATTAAACCTTTGTTATTAATGCTCACTTGCTTACAATTAAAATTTAAAGAAGCTAAATACTATTTATACAAAATTGTTTAAAGAAGAGTTAAAGTGTTATCTTGTTTAAAAGAATCCGCTAATGCTTTTTCACCTTTAGGTCCAAGTCAATTATTGCAAAGATTTAATGAAGTCAAAGTGGTATTTTTGCAAAGAGTATCTGCTAACGCTTTTCCTCTCTCAGGACTAAGTTGATCATTGCAAAGATTTTAAAAAAACTAAAATATTATACAGTATTCAGTTTTGGAGTGCAATTTATATTAATAGTTTACAGATTTCATCACTAATCAGAATAAAAAAAAAATGCAAATGCCATTAAAGCAAAGGTTGCTATAAGCAATGCACCCTCTAACCAATTTGATTTTTCATCTGAAAAAGTAAGTTTGGATTATATAATATGAATTAAAGAATTAAAAAATAAGGTTTAACAATACTTACTCTATAATTGAGAGGCAAATAAAATATGCAATAATAGTTATGATAGATTTTTTTATTATAAAAACTTACCATATTAAACATTAAAAATAAACATACCTGTACCAAGTAATTTGAGAGTAAAACTGAAATTAATAAATATACAGTTTTAAATATCTCAAAGTTCAATGATATTGGTTGACCAATATTCCATCCCAATATTACTAATAGAGGAATAACAAATAACATGATTTGCTATAATTTTATCAGAAAGAGTAAAAGATTTTTTTAAGATTAATTCAGTTCAGCACTATAATAACAGTTCCAATCCTAATTAACTTACTATTAAGCTGCCAACTGTAATGCAAATAGCAAATTCCATTTTATCTTTCATTGCAACACTAACAGAAGTAGCGTGCTATTAACAATATTAAAGTTTTATAATATTTAAAAAGTATTATTATCAAGATGGTTAGAAATTAAATATCTCAGCCCCATTTCTGATAATAGGTAACAAAATCAAACCAATGAAAGTTTTACTTAAATCAACTTCTTCAATTGAACTAACATAAAATTTAGCAGAAAATCCAATTATCACTGTTACTATAATTAGCAAAAATAATGCCATTTTCTTGCTTATTTGTGGTTCTTCATTTTCTTTATTAATAAATAGATTATTATGAGTTTTTAACTATTTTATAAAAAGAAATAAACTATAAAGACGCGCAATGTAGATAATAATTAAATGATAATAAAATATTTTATAATACCTGAAAATATAAATAAAGTATATATATTACGAACAACACTATAGAAGTTCTATAACTTAAATGTAAGACTCTAGAATCAATCGTAGTATTAGAATTTCCATCGATAACACTAGAACTTACTTGTGCTGCAGTTGAACTAAAGTGATAAAAGCAAATAGTAAGGTTCAAAAAAGAAAGGCTAGTAAGAAGGTTAATCATACAAAAATTGTAAGAATTCTGGAGAGAATGGGCTCCAAAAAAGATCTGTACATAATCAATTAAAAGAATTGATTTTAAAAGTATTTAAATCAGATATTTTTTATTAAAATTAACTTCTTTGGACTTTTCAAATTCTAACTTTGATGCTACTCTCTCTTTTTTAGATTTTAGTAAAATAAATTCTAAAAAAAAAAAGCATTAGTAGCATCTACTTAAATACTGATCTGATACAGTACTCTTTTTATTAAAGTATCTTAACAATATCACGAGCTTTCAATTACAATATCAATAACATATGTGCTTCAAGGTCATGAAAGCCAATTTGTGTGTTTACTTTCTAATTTTGAAGAAAATGAGATATGAAGTTGCACTCGAGCATTCTACTAAGGCGATTTCCAAAGTTATAAAACCTTCACAAATGAATGGAAGAGGCACAAAACACGATCCGTATATAATCTAAGATTGATAGACTTGTTATTTTTATTTTTGACAAATGAAAAAGAATTTATATTGATTTAATTATTCTTCGATAACACTTTAATCAAATGAACTACCATAAAGATCATAACACTTGTCAACAGTGCTCAATTTTGATTGGCTAGCGGTTTTGGCACGCACTATGGTAAAATTCACCCATGAAATTTTCACTTAATAGGCAGCTGATTTATTAATAACAATAAATTTTGAGTAATTCCAGCCAATTCTTTGATCGGCAATCAAAATCGAGAATCTGCTATGGGTTAATGTGTTAGCACATTATCATGTGATTTATTTAAAAAGGTTATTTTAATAAATTTTATTAATTTTAAATTCATTTTTTTATTAGAATTGTTGTTTTGCTAAATCACGATTTTATTCATTATTATTTGTTTGAAAATCCGGTTTTTATTATTGTATTATGCATTGTATCCTTTTCATATTTCAATTGATTTTCTAGGATAAAAACTTATGATAAATTCAAACAAATTCAACCATTATTGATAAAATCTAATACAGTAATGTTTAACAATACTTACAATACAACTTATAGAATTCCTATCAAAGAATTCTTTAGCCTTGAAAATTTTCATTTTCACCATTAAGTTTATGATAAAAAGATTTTTATAGTCATTAATTGTATTGTACTTATTTATTTTATCAGAATCATTATTGTATTTTTGAATCACCAAAAATTTTGATTAATGGATTTTTTCAATGACAAACAAATAAATATATTGAATATTTTGAATCGTTATCTACACCCGAAATGATATTTTTTATGAGATTTCTTATTCCATGCAGTTTCCTCATACAGTTATACATGTTGGCAAAATCTCAAACTATTAATGATGGATTACAAGGGTTAAAAACAGGCAAAACTCAATTGTCGAATTTAATAATTTGAAATATTGTATTGAATTTTTAATTTTTAAGAATTATTACATGGAAAGCACGTTGACTAAGTTTGTAATTGACTATTCTAAAATTATTTGAGTGTACTATGAATGATCAATTCGTTCCTTGATTAATGCAACAATATACTTTAAAAGAAATTGTAAACAACTATCAAGTAAAAAAGTACACAAAGCTCAAACCTCTTCAATAGTTTCGACAATTCTTTCAGTTTTACTTACTAGATTATAAAAGTTGAAACCAGTTTTTTCTTCCATCAATGTCAAATCTATAGGTTTCATCTATATGTGATACACGATCATCAGTTACATGACTACTTTTTTAATCCTGGACAAGTTATCGTTATGCAGAAGGTATTAGATTAATAATTATAATAGAAACCTGAAGGTGAAGAGAGAAGTACGAGATCTTGTATAGCAAGCATATAGTAGATATTAATTGGAGGAATCTCGAATATTTAGTTACATAAAAAGTATATAATCAGGATGTTCAGTAACAGAGACAGAATCTGAAATAAGAGTTAGATTCATTTTTGATAAGTTAGAAATTTATGTTACGCTATTCTTGTTGGAATTAGATTTTTGATAGATTTTTATCATGGTTTATTTTTATAAATAATATTTATATTGATCCAATTAAAAAAAGTCAGAATTTCAAATGAATTTTTAATTCATAGATATTTTATTGTAATTGAAAGTTAAAAACTTAAAGCCAGCTTTTCAGAATTTTAATTTTAATTAAAATACTCA